GGTGTTTTTGGAATCTTGGGTGAGCCTGTCGATATTTATGTCACCGATAAGTATTATGTTTTTCTTGTGTACTTCTTGTAGTTCTAGCGTGTCTGATAGGAGGTCAAGGGCAATTCTTGCATTTTCGATTGGTGGTCTATAGATTCCCAGAATGTAGATATCCTTTTTCTTTGTTGTCTGCATGCGAATCATTGCTGCTTCGAATATTAACTCCTGGCATGTGTTTGATATGTTAATAGCTGATACTGTATCAGCAAGGGATTCCTTGGAATATATTGCAACACCTCCAAGTTTATGTTCTTCTCTACTAAAGTGGGTAATTAAAGAGTAGCCGGGAATTTTTGTAGCTTCTAGCTCTGTTTTTTTCAGTCCGTGTTCAGTCAAGACTAGAATGCTTGGTTTTGTGTCATTGAGAATATGGTGTAGTCTGTTCGTCTTTGTAGCAAGTCCTCTAATATTTTGGTGCATTATTGCTACACAAGAATTATTTGGAGATTTGCAGATTTTTCTTTTGCTTTTTTCAGGCTGTTTGTTTCTAAAAAAGGGGTTATAGTATGGGGCACTGTAGAGTGATTAGATTGTTGACTTGAATTGGGTTCTTGCAGCTGCTCATGTTTCTGTTCTCCTTGAGAAGAGAGGCAGTCCATCTCGGTCATGTTTAGTCGCTTGGTGTGTGACAGAATATTCTTTTTATATAGGTCTATATTTTTCCAAAAGAAGTCTTCAATGGTCTCTCCCGGCTTAAGAAGCTTGGCGGTGATCGGGGGTTTCCCTGTGTTCTTTGGTTTAGTTGATTTGTTTGGGGGAGATATAGTGCCCTTGAAAGTAGAGCAAACTCCTTTTGGAATTTTGATGGCCTTGGGTTTTTTAATATTTTGTTTTTTTGTTTGTTGTGGTTGACTTTGGTGTTCTGGTGCTTCTTTCCTCAACTTGCTTTTTGCTATTTGCAAGGAAACACTGAAATGGGTTTTCTTAGTAGTTGCCAATTTGTTTTTATTATATGAAACTCGTCTTGGTGTGTTAATTGGCTTGCAAGGAGTCTCCTTTTTCTCAGTTATTAGTTGCTGGGAATCTTCTACTGTTATTTTATCTTCTAATTTCTTCATTTTTGACTCCATATTATTCTGTTTTTCTTTTAGGGCCTTTAGTTCAAGTAGAATTAGTGTTTCTGTGTTTGATGCTTCTGGATTTTTGTTGTCTGAAACTGTGGTTTTGTTTGTGAGGTCCTTCGCCTCTGTAGTGGTTGTCTGTGTGCTTGTCTCTCTGAATGATTTTGTAGATTCTTCTCCGGTGTTTATTCTGCTGCATGTATTTTTTTGCCTAAGGCATTTAATTTCATTCTCCATGTCCTTTATTTTTGTGTTGAAGCTATTAAAAGTTTCTTCCCTGTCTTTGTCATAATCTTCAAATGTTTTTGTGAGAGTGTTTCTCAGGCTTACTTCCTTTTCCAATTGGTGTTCTAGTTCAGTTATTGTTTCGATTAGGTCGTTGTTTCTAATTAGAATAGTATTTTTCTCATCTTCTAGTTGTTCAATTTGAGCGTGGTAGTTCATGATGTCGATGGTTTGTATGTTTGTTAGTTTCTGGGCCAGACTCGAGTTTTGTTGAGTCAGGTTGAGTACTTCTTCTCTTAGTTTGCTATTTTGTGCTAGAAGTGCGTTTCCAACTTCTGCTGCAAGTGTTAGAGAAGTTTCTAAATCGGGATCTTCTGAGTTTTCTAGTTCTAGAATTTTGTTTTCTACCTCGCCCATTTTGTTACCCTGACTTTCAGAGGATATTTGATTTGGGGGTGTGGGAGTTTGGTCTTCTTTTAGTTGTAACGCTGGCTTTCCAGAGGTGAGGGAAAGATCACTACAATTGTTACACCTCCATAGGAAAATGTCTTCTTTAGAAAGGTTTTTTAATTGTTTTTCTGTGATATTGACACACCCACCATGAAACCAGGAGTTGCAGGGACCAGTACATTTTATACTGGAGTATTTTACACCGATGTTGCATTCACCACAGGGATATTTTGAAACTTTTTTGTTCTTCGACATAGTTCAGGTGTAAAATTGTATCAGTTTTGAAAAGTTTGGCTGGTTCTTTATGTCAGGAATCTTGAGGTTCAGGTTAAAAATTATATCAGTTTTGAAAAGTTTGGCTGGTTCTTTATGTCAGGGGTCTTGAAGTTCAGGTGTAAAATTGTATCAGTTTTGAAAAGTTTGGCTGGTTCTTTATGTCAGGAATCTTGAGGTTTAGGTTAAAAATTATAACAGTTTTGAAAAGTTTGGCTGGTTCTTTATGTCAGGAGTCTTGAGGTTCGAGTTAAAAATTGTATCAGTTTTGAAAAGTTTGGCTGGTTCTTTATGTCAGGAATCTTGAAGTTCAGGTGTAAAATTTTATCAGTTTTGAAAAGTTTGGCTGGTTCTTTATGTCAGGAATCTTAAAAAGTTTGGCTGGTTCTTTATGTCAGGAATCTTGAGGTTCAGGTTAAAAAATTATATCAGTTTTGAAAAGTTTGGCTGGTTCTTTATGTCAGGCTTAGAACTATTTAAATAAATAAATAAATTTATTTCTGTTGTCAAAAATTTGTGTAGAGTAATAAAGAATACAGTGTTGCACTGTATTACTGGTTGGTAGTAGGTTGTAGACACTGTTAGAAGTGGCAGTGTCTGTGGTCAGTTTGCTGAGCGTCCAGTCAGCAACTCTCAGTTCAAACACTCCCAGGCAGCAGGTGTCGTGTTGGAAGTGATGAATGTGTAAAGCTGTGAGTTGGCTGTGACGTCACTGCTTGGTTGTCAGTTTGATATATTTGCAGAGTTTAATTTAAAGAATTTGGGCACTTATGTAAAATTGAAACTTTTAAACTATGCAATGTTTACAAGATAACCATCTGCTCTATGAATTTTTGAGGTAAATGTTATTTTTGGTATTAAACTTGTATTAATAACTTACAGTCATGTTCATTGTTCAGTTAGTCATATTGGCTTTTCATGAGATTTTCTTGAGGGTCACTTAAAATCTTGATTGTCTTAAAATCACTTGATGAGTTGTTGTTTGTATGTGTGTTGTTTAATTAGTAATTTTGTTGTTTTTTACCACTAAACTACACTTTAGATATGGGAGCACTTTGCAGGTGATGCTAGATGTCCGCCATCTTGGTTTTCACTCCTATCACTATATTTGTTTGTTTTCACTATATTTGTTTATATCAAAGCTTGCTTACTCCGCTCAATTGGCGGACCTGAGGCCGCATGCCTAGTAATATAATAGATAAACGTGTTTTACAAGATTTTGTCGATTGCGGCTCGAAAATGCTACACGCCCAAAATATTGTTCAAATTATAATAGCAATTATATTGATCTGGTAGTGCTACGAGGTTTGTTTATGTATTAAAATAAAAGTTCAGAATCTCCTCTTTCCAACGGCATCAAAATTATCAGCTTCTAGATCATTTTCATTGCGTGGTAAGCGTTTAGAAAAAAAATGTCCGAAACGCCGTTAAATGGCGTTGGGCACCGAGCGCACACATCAGAACATCAGGCGCAAGGCAGTCCTAGGGTTAAAAGAATAAACAGGGTGTCCACTAGGCCAACCAGAAAAAATTCATGAGTAAAAAAAAAATCCAGGTAGTTCAGGTCGTACTTTTTATACTAAAATTTCCATCGTGCTTTGCACCAACTCCCGCAATGCTGTTTTAGCACTAACACAGCTCGCTATTTTAGTTATCGGAAAGAGCATTAAGGGGAAACAAATTATGATTGCTGTAATATTGCCTGACACAAGTATTCAATTTTTATATATTACTAATTAAATAATCCAAAAATTAAAAACTAATCCTTAAACCTGCTATTTATTAATAACTTCCTAAAAATAGTGATATGTCGATACCAAAATTTATCGAATCTCTGTACAGACACCTGAAAAATAGATTCTTAATACTGATCATAACAATTTTTCCAAATTTTCTGAAGGATTACTACACCAACCCCTGGCTTTATGTACTTTCATATAGTATAATTTTGGAGTAATGGGTTGTTTTCCAAGTAGCTTACAGAAATAATAATGCAGAAATTACAAAAATTGCACGTAGCCAATTTATGTTTTGAACCCTTCTAAACACATTAAATAAATACCACGTTAAAGGTAAATGAAGGAAGATATTACAAAAAAATATATAAAAAAACTTTCTAGAAGTGTGTCATTTTGAAATTTTTGGTCAGGCCAAACTCGAGGTTATATTGTAATCATCTAACACAGTCGTAGAGACACCATCATCATTTTCTGCAATAACTGAAAAATCCTGAATATCTCACTCAGTAACACAAACATCACCACTGTCTTCTGTGGTCTTGAAAAAATCCTGATATTGTTCAGCGGTAACGGAAACATTATAATCGTCTCCTGCAGTAAAGTTATCATAATCTTCCTCAATCATAGCTTAATTCAAATAATTTTCCGCGGTCATCATCGTCAAACAATATTGTTGGTTATCATCATCGTTTCCCGCAGTCACAGGAACATCGTCCTCGTCTCCCGCGGTCATGGAAACGTCATTGTCTTCACCCGCGATAACGGAAACGTCATCGTCGTCTCCCGCGGTCAAGGAAACGTCATCGTCCCCATGCGCGATCGCGGCAAAATCACTAACATATCCCGCGGCCGTTTGGACATCATCATCGTCTCACGCAGTCACGGAAATGTCATCGTCTGCATGCGCAATCATGCATGCAATCATGTCATCGTCGTCTCCCGCGGTCACGGAAAAGTCGTCATCGTCTCCCGCGGTTACGGATACGGGGATAGGTCATCGTTGTCTCCTGTGGTCACGGAAACGGCATCGTCGTCTCCCGCGGTAATGGGAACGTCATCGTCGTCTCCCGCGGTCGCGGCAAAAAATTCCCGGTTAAATACAAAATTCACGCATAATTCCCAGTTTTCGCGGTCGGTGGACACCCTGATAAAAGATTTTTTTGTATCGAATTAAGCAATGCAAATGTTACTGGATATTACTTACCTCATCAAGTAATATCCAGTGCCCATGTTTCAGTGCTCTTAGAAACGGTCCGTCTCGCCATTCAAAGCTTCCCCCCTCCGCTCCTTCAAGAGGGAGATCTGCCCCAAACAGATCCGACACATCCGTCTGATCTGACAGGTTGATCCTTGTGAGAGAGTGGCCAGCTGCCCTAGCTAGTGCTGCTACTATGCTAGTCTTACCAACACCTGCATGGTAATAATAATTACTAGTGGCATGTAGGGACATATGTCCCTAAAAATCTCAAAAAAAAGTTATTATAATATAATTGAACAAACTACGAATCAAATTATTTATTTGGCAAGATGGATATCTTTGTACACCATATCTTTGTGTAAAAATGTCTCTCTGTTTGCTTTATACACATTGACTGTTTACAATTAACATATGTTCGTCTTCTCACTTTTAATTTCTGACAACAGCTGGAGTTTCATAACAATGTTTGTTTCCCATGTTAATCTTATGGAGAATGAAAAAATTTTAAAGGGCCTCTTAGCCTCAGTCTCTAATTATTTCCCTAAAAAGAAACTTTCCTGCACAACTTCACGTTACGCTCTTTCCAATGACACCAAAAACATGTCAATCGGGTAGTTTCGGAGGATTATGTCACAAAAAACCTGCTTGCGTATTAAATAAGTAATAATAAAGATCTAGATATTTTTAAATTATTGTTGTGCATTTTTAATGATTGTTTAATTTTATATTATTGTTGTATTTACTGTTTATATTTTTACTTTGTAAAGTCTATCATTGTTTTTTTTTCAATGTGATTTTATAATGAGATTTATTCATGCTCAAATTAAATTGAGATAACTATACATGGGGTTTAAAAAGTAATGAAAGAATTTAGAAATATTAGTTTCACTCTTTATCCTACCAACTAGTATAATTTGGATTGAGTGATGATGACTGGCATAGAGCCTAGCGTTCTAGGGTGGAAATTTGGGAGATGGAAGAGAATGTTCACAAACCAGGGCTGCCTTCTAGGAGAACTGCTCGTCCAGGCAGTTGTAGTGCTCTTAGCAGTCTGGAGGTGTTGAGACTGGTGGTTTTGGCATTGAATGTGAAATCTTCCTGTTCTGACCTCACGTTCTCACCTATTGACATTAATTTAAGTTTTAACTTTGACCATTATCTAACAAACTAGACATTCTATCCCCATATAAAGTTGTCACCAGTTTTTTAATCAAAATGAATGTTGAGTTAAGCCACCGACCTGTTAAAAATATGATTCGCTGATGATAATTATTTTTTTCTGTCGAATACACAATTTGTTTAGTCAAGTTATTGATAGGACAACTTACTGTAAGCTATAGCATATTATAAACCAGAATATAGCAGCACTAAACAAAAGTGCTAAGAGACACTCAGTATTGCCAAATGGAGCAAAAAAATCACAAGCAAAGTTTTTTTTTTTTTTTTTTTTTGTCCTAAGGACGCTAGGCACGAGCCTGGGATTGTTTTTCACATTACTTCAGGCTAGACCTAGGGGTTGCGGCATTATCACTTAGATAAAATCCATTGGTGACTTGGCGGGGATCGAACCCGGGACCTCAGGGACTGAAGTCCCGCGCTCTAACCACTACGCCAGCTCGCTCCCCACAAGCAAAGTACATGGATACACAATTAAAAATTCCATAAAAAGGGGTGAAGCAAAATTTTGAGGTTAGGTTCTTTCCACAATGCTTAACATAATCGTTATCTTCTTCCATCTCACCCTTCTAAGCCAAAACTCCACAACCCACTGTTCAAAATGCACTGACACAGTAAAATAAATGGCCAATCCAAAAACGAATTGTACTAGAAGGACACATAAAAGAAAACAGCACTATATAGGGAGACAATAACAACATTCACCGCTCACAACAAAACAATGTTAGTGAGGGGAGGACAGTGATAAATTTATAGTATGTCAGGTGGAGTGCTAATGCTCAGCAACACACCCAGCCTTATAAATCTATTCACAGTTGCTGGTAGAGACATAAAACGAGCCCTCTATCAGCTAGAAACCCACCCAACCTTATAAATCTCCTCAGAGTTGCTGTTAGAGTCATAGAACGGCCCTCTATCAGCAAGCAACAAACCCAGCTTTACAAATCTCCTTAAAGCTGTTGTTAGGGACATAGAACGATCGCTCTATCCACTAGCAACAAACTCAGCCTTATAAATCTCCTCAGAGTTGCTGTTAGAGACATAAAACGAGCCCTCTATCAGCTAGCAACACCCAGCCTTATAAATCTCCTCAGAGTTGCTGTTAGAGACATATGACGATCCCTCTCTCAACTAGCAACACACCCAGCCTTATAGATCTCCTCAGAGTTGCTTTTAGAGACATAGAACGATCCCTCTATCAGCTAGCAACAAACCCAGCCTTACAAATCTCCTTAAAGCTGTTGTTAGGGACATAGAACGATTTCTCTATCCACTAGCAACAAACTCAGCCTTATTGTTCTCCTCAGAGTTGCTGTTAGAAAAATTGAACGAGCTCTCTATCAGCTAGCAACACACCCAGCCTTATAAATCTCCTCAGAGTTGCTGTGAGAGACATAGAACGCGCCCTCTATCAGCTAGCAACAAACCTAGCCTTACAAATCTCCTTAAAGCTGTTGTTAGGGACATAGAACGATTTCTCTATCCACTAGCAACAAACTCAGCCTTATTGTTCTCCTCAGAGTTGCTGTTAGAAAAATTGAACGAGCTCTCTATCAGCTAGCAACACACCCAGCCTTATAAATCTCCTCAGAGTTGCTGTGAGAGACATAGAACGAGCCCTCTATCAGCTAGCAACACACCCAGCCTTATAAATCTCCTCAGAGTTGCTGTTAGAGACATAAAACGAGCCCTCTATCAGTTAGCAACACACCCAACCTTATAAATCCTCAGAGTTGCTGTTAGTCATAGAACGAGCCCTCTATCAGCTAGCTACACACCCAGCCTTATAAATCTCCTCAGAGTTGCTGTTAGAGACATAAAACGACCGCTCTATCAGCTGGCAACATACCCATCCTTATAAATCTCTTCAGAGTTGCTGGTAGGGACATAGAACGATCCCTCTATCAGCTGGCAACAAACCCAGCCTTATAGTCTCCTCAGAGTTGCTGTTAGAGACATATAACTATCCCTCTCTCAACTAGCAACACACCCAGCCTTATAAATCTCTTCAGAGTTGCTGTTAGAGACATAGAACGAGTCCTCAATCAGCTAGCAACACACCCAGCCTTATAAATCTCCTCAGAGTTGCTGTTAGAGACATATAAGGATCCCTCTCTCTCATCTAGCAATACACCCAGCCTTATAGATCTCCTAAGAGTTGCTTTTAGAGACATAGAACAATCCCTCTTTCAGCTAACAACAAACCCAGCCTTACAAATCTCCTTAAAGCTGTTGTTAGGGACAAAGAACGATCGCTCTATCCACTAGCAAAAAACTCAGCCTTATTAATCTCCTCAGAAATGCTGGTAGAAAAATTGAACAATCCCTCTATCCGCTAGCAACAAACTCAGCCTTATATTAATCTCAATCAGTTCCGTCGTGTCCGCCGTGCTACCTGCGTCAGTGTGTCTCTTATAAAATGTAGCCGGCTACTTTCTTTAAATGTGCTTTGTGTCGTAAATGTGTGAACTTTATGTGTCGACATGTGTTTGTACCTCATAACGAAGACTTCTGTCGGATTTTGGACCAATCAATTTGATGAAAATGGGTTTGAAAATGGGTAATTTCTGACCCGAAACTAGTCACCCTTTGACTATTTTAGGACTGACGACGGAATAAAAAAGGTACGTAACCTATCATATCAGCTTTACTTTTGTTACTTGTTTGTTTTGACCCATAATTATTGCTGTAGTGTCGTCTGCAAAAAGGTAAAGTGGAATATTAATGTTGATTGGCAAATCATTAATGTACAACAGAAACAATACTGGCCCTAAAATAGATCCCTGCGGCACCCCACAGACAACCTCCCTCCAAGTTGAGAAGTGAGCAATTCTGTCATCATCGAACATTTTAACTCTTTGGAATCGTTTTGTCAGATAAGATTCAAACAGGTCATGTGCTATGCCACTAAATCCATAATAACTCATTTTGGATAGCAGCAGTTCGTGGCTGACACAATCAAAAGCCTTGGACAAGTCACAGAAAACTCCAAATGTTGTCTGCGATTCATCCAAGGCCCTCAACAAGTCACTCACCAGCTCAAATACTGCCATCTGGGTTGATCTTCCCTGTCTAAAACCGAATTGTTTTTCGTTAATAAGATTATACTTTTCTAAATGAGTAACCATTTGATTTAATATGATCTTCTCCAAAATTTTAGAAAATGATGGAAGCAGTGCTACTGGTCTATAGTTATCTAAACTTCTCTTACAGTTTTTCTTATAAATTGGAAAAATGTTGGAAAATTTTAGTTTGTCAGGAAAAACTCCAGTATGTAATACAATATTTGAGATGTGCACCAATGGATTCAAAATGATACTACTAATTTCTTTAATTAATGAAACTGGGATTTCATCCCATCCAGATGACTGTTTAGCCGACAAGCCTGCTATAGTCTTAATCATATCTCTTTTTGTGATTGGACTAAATGAAAAAGTTAAGCTTTGTATCTTTGCATTATTTATGTAATTTATTGCATCCTGAACTGAACCCCCTGAATGGCCTGATAAAACTAAGATTCCCGATAATCTTAAGCCATACTTCACAGTTCGGGATGAAATAACAAGAGAAACTACGATAGACGCTATGCTACAAGAGAACTTCCATCGCTGCATGTAGGTCAAAAAGTATGGATCCAAGACTTAAAAAGAGAGGGGATTATTATCAGCTTAGGACAAGAACCAAGGTCATACTGGGTTAAGACAGGAAACACTACGTTGAGAAGGAATCGACACCACCTTTTGCCTTACAAAGGTAATACAAGCAAACAGAGCAATCCTATTCCTTTATCCATCAAAGATACAATGCCAGATACTCTTCCATTTACTACTGTTACTCAAACCAACTCGTCCCTATCAAATACTACTGAAAAAGGAACTACTACTCCATCTAGAACACCCCAAGATTACAGTAAATCTTTTTCACGATCAACAATTCCCAATCAAGAAGCTGCAATTAAAAAATCATCAAGAGGCAGAATTATAAGACCAACCAAACGATTTCCTGAATAAACTTTGAAAAAAAAACTCAAAGGGAAAGATGTTCAACCTCTATGGTTATTTAATTATTATTTAACCATATGTTTTTATTTACTTTCTTTAATAATATTGTCTTGTATTTGTGTCTTGATTAAAAACAGTTTAGTTTCTTTTGATCTTTTAATTTTTATCTAATTAAGAAATAGAACAGAAATAGAATTTTCTCTCTCCAGGCTAGCATCATACCCAGCCAAATAAATCTCAGAGTTGCTGGTAGAGACATACAGCGTCCCCTCTCTGGACTAGCAACACACCCAGCTTAAAAAACTACCTTTAGAATAAACTTTCTAAACAGATTATTGCATGTGATTTTTTATAAATCTACAGAGACAAACAGTAAAAACTCGTAATGGTTAGATTGCTTGATGATAAAAACTCAATCAGGCTTGAACGTAAATATTTTACTATCACTTATAAAATATACAGTCCTATATTTAGTTTTAATATAAGAAATTATTATTTAAATATAACAAATCTTGTTTTATTGCGTTTGTAACAGAAACCAATTAAACCCTACAATGTGGCAACAATGTTTTGATCAAGTATCACCTGATTCAGTAATACATTTTATTACCGCTTAGCCGCTTAGCTTATAAAAGAAAAAAGGTCAGCTTAAAAAAAAGTAGGTACATATAGTTTTTCAAACATACTTTGTACTTACCAACAGGTATAAAAAATGGAGGTATTCCAAAGTGTGTATGAGTGGAAACTGCCAGTGGAATTTTCTCAGTAATGAAAATATCTTTGATTTCTGGATGAAAAATTGAAGTTTTCTCGACTTGTCCAACCAGGAAGTCCAAACAAGATCTTCGTAACTTTGGCACCAACTCAGCCCTGTGTGTTTAAAAAGATTTTATCAGAGTTTTATCTGGTTATTCAATATAAAAATCTGTATTAGGTTAAGGACTGTGTTACAAATTAACAAAATACTTATATGGGAATTTTATTGTTTTTCAGGAGCTCTTCTTAAATAAACCCAATCTCATCCACAAACAGGAATAAACTTCCTGAAATTCTTGGTGTGAAAATTGCTATTCAGATTAAGTACAGTACTAACTAGTTACTACATTTCACACAGTTAATACTAACAATTTAGTAATTGATTTAACGGCATTGACTAACTAAATATTTGATTTACATTATAATTTATAATATACACTAACATAAAGGTTTGCTGAATGAGGTTGCTTAACTAGCAAATCAGGCTGGTAAAGGTTCGGCTACACCAAAAAGGAAAGGAAATGGGTGGGACAAAAATGAAAAGGAAAGAAAATGTCACAGATAGGAAACTGTCAGGAACAATTTCTTGCAAGAGCGTAAGCACACTGTACTGGCAGCCAAACAATTTTTGACTTACCACACATCCAGCCAGAAAGTTCCTACTATTTTCTTACCTTCTTGGTGTAGCCCAAGAGAAAGGTGTGCCATGGCTAGACAATCTTTTATTAAATGTTCTTTTGAAAACCCACCAGATTCTGGAGTGTCGTGTCTAATATTCCATTTGATAACACTGAATCTTTCCTGTGTAGCCCAAGTATAAACCAGACTTTGAAGGTTCAACCACTACTGTTACCATAGACTAGCACATGTAACTTACACTCTCAAAGTAATCACATTTTACTGCTAAGATCAGTATATGGTGACAAGCAGATGAGTTTCAGGTACTTAAATTCATTTTACACACCTGTCAACTACCCCAGAGGTGGAACCCGAACCCAGGCCATCGACCAATGTAAGACAAGCTCCATGTATGTAGGCAGAGGATACGTCTAAGGCAGAATCCTCCGCTGTTACTGTGTTGATAAAGCTTACCCAAGTCAGCACATCCCTTACACTTACAGTCACCCTACAACAGTAAATGTTTATCTGTAAAAAGATTTAGCAAAGAAAACACATTTCCCATATAGAGCCATTGATACTCAAGTCTGGGACACTGATTGAAGTTCGACAACTCTAAAACAAAAGTTTTTTTTAGACAACTGTAGGTACCAAGACTCAGGACTGAAATCAACTCTTCTGTCTTTAGCAGTAAATACTGTCATGTGGAGTGAACATGAAGGTAAAACCACATTTGTAAAAAAACAAACATATTAATTAGTTTAATTTTAACTAACTTTGCCTTTCAAAAACAATGTAACGCTCACACAGAGTAGAGCGTCAATTATTGGAATACCAGTTATCCAGAATACCAGTTATACAGATTACCGGTTATCCATACTAGTGATGTGTCGAATCCAAATCTAGAATCTCGAATCCATTGAATCTTTAGGAAATATTCGGATTCAAGATTCGGTCAACGAGATTCGACTTTCAAATCCTTCGAACTTCGACCCGAATAAGAATCGGCGTTAGTCAAAACACCCGCCGATGCGACGACGTGATGGGACTGTTCAAGGTCAGTTTGAGACACAGTCGTTTGCCCGTGCAATTGCATAATATTTTGAAACAGCAAACTATTTGTGGTGAACGAAAACATAAGATTTTATATGTCCACTATTTCAAAGTTAAAACTCAAGATAAGATCAAATAATTTAATTTAAATCTCAGATTTTGTCTTGTAATCTGTAATAATAAAAACACAGTTGAATATATTAGGTACGCCTGTTAACAACATTACAATTTACTAAAAACAATCATAATACAAAATCATACAAAAGAATTAATATAATTGGCTTTAATATAAATTGGAATTAATATAATTCCAATTTAAATTTAGGCCAATGACCTAAATATCATGATTGTGCAATGTTGTATTTTGATGTTATAAATGCAAATCATGGCATTAATTTGAATATATTTGTAGTTAATTCAAATTATATTTTTGATGATTCAAAGTTTCTACACGGAAAAAGAGAATCTGAAGTCAACCGGGCAAAGGATTCCCGAAAATACAACTTTTATCATATCATTGTCCTACTATTAGAATCCCCCCAAGGCAGCCCTCTAGTCTAAATATAGTAGTCCAGGAGCTGAGGGGGTTTGAGCATGCATAAAAGTAGTACGCAATGTTATTGCTGATTATTGTAATATGGACTGTGGTGATCAAAATTACGTATGTCGCCTACTTCAAAAGTGGTCGATAAGGTGGGGGGGAGGGGGCAAACATGGCGGTTTGCGCTATGCGTTCGTTCGAAAACCGTAAAAGATAGAACATCGGTTAAAACGTCGTTGTAATTCTAAAAATATGGACAACAATAATGGTTATTGGATCCGAGGTCGTATCTCTATAAATAAACAAGTTATTGTATAAAATATGTAAAAATGGACTTTTCGTGTAGTTTTTTTTTACCGAAAGTAGAATTAATTTGTGATTGTCGCAAAGAAATAACATCAAATATCTTTGCTGATAGTTGTAATATGGACTGTGGTGATAAAAAATGCGCATGTCGCCTACTTTTCAGGTGGTCGAGAACTTGGGGGGAGGGGGGCAAAGATGGCGGAACGCGCTATGCATCGAAACGACTGTAGCTCGAGAACGGTACGAGATAGGACATCGGTTAAAACAAAGTTTTAATCCAAAATATATTACCAATAGAAAAGTCCATTGGGTAAAAAGTTGTATCTTAACTAATAAAAAAGTTATAACGATAATAAGTTGAACAAAATCTACATCGTACAGCTATTTTTTTCGAAAATCGTATAGATTGTTGATAAATAATAGTGTAATTACTTAATTACTCGGCTAAATATTAACTAGATGCATTTTCTTATAATAAAAAAAAATATTATTACGAATACATTTGGTTTAAAATGTAAAACATGGCCTCAAAACGCCTTGGGGTTCGTCTTATAGGTTGCGTCATAATTGCTGCGCAGTGCTGCTGATATCGGCACAACTGTTAATCCCCCTAAAGTTCGTTACCTTCCAACTCAGTGATATCGGGGTTGTGAAAGTGTACTGTTTAATACTACTGACATTTATTGTGTTTTATTTATACAAACAACATTCTTTTATAAATTTTAATAGTTATTTAAATATTTTAAATTTTAATACATTTTATTTTAAGTTGCTTACGTTTTTTTTTTATTGTGTGTGGCTGGCTTTTTATATAAGTTTGTTCCTAGTGACTAGTGGATTAGGCAATTTTAAAGCAGAATTTCATCAACTTACAAAAGTTGCATATAACTATTTCATCGACTAAAGGTATGTGACTATTACTATTGTACGTGTACAAAAGGTGCTGTATTTAGTTCATTTTCAACACCCTAATGTGGTTACAGTCTGAATACTTCGTGATATATTTCTTGACATGGCATTCGTAGTGACCTATAAAAAAAAGAAAAAAGATTTTGATTTTAAGTTATGCTTGATTTGTCAAGAGAGTGAAGAGGTTTTGGTTGCAAACCCCAAAGCCCAAAGTTTAACCCGAATTAAACTAGCTAGCATTCGTCAAAAGGACATTATTTCTCTTGTTTTGGACAATTTTGAGGAGGATCAATCGATGTACAAGTACCATCGAATTACAGGTGCTAAGAGAAATTAAAAAAGGTACCTATTTAAATTCAACAAATAATATGAACAACCAGTGTAATTGTTATGGATACGAGTAGAATGAAGAGATTTACCGTATTTTTTATTATAAGGTATTTACTTTTGTAGTAATGTTTTTTTTTATTTTATATAACTGTATTGCATAAGAATCTGTTACATAATCATATTGTAATAACCTACAACATTATAATAATTAAAATTGGATTTGTAGTGGTAGTCTGTATTATGCGTTTGATTGCGGCGAAAACCCAAGTATTATATGTAGTTTGGAGGCTGTGTTTTACATTTTAAACCAAATGTATTCGTAATAATATATTTTTTTCTTATAAGAAAATGCATCTAGTTAATATTTAGCCGAGTAATTAAGTAATTACACTATTATTTATCAACAATCCATACGATTTTCGAAAAAAATAGCTGTACGATGTAGATTTTGTTAAACTTATTATCATTATAACTTTTTTATTAGTTAAGATACAACTTTTTACCCAATGGACTTTTCTATTGGTAATATATTTTGGATTAAAACTACGTTTTAACCGATGTCCTATCTCGTACCGTTCTCGAGCTACAGTCGTTTCGATGCATAGCGCGTTCCGCCATCTTTGCCCCCCTCCCCCCAAGTTCTCGACCACCTGAAAAGTAGGTGACATGCGTATTTTTTATCACCACAGTCCATATTACAACTATCATCAAAGATATTTGATGTTACTTCTTTGCGACAATCACAAATTAATTCTACTTTCGGTAAAAAAAACTACACGAAAAGTCCATTTTTACATATTTTATACAATAACTTGTTTATTTATAGAGATACGACCTCGGACCCAATCACCCTTATTGTTGTCCATATTTTTAGAATTACAACGACGTTTTAACCAATGTTCTATCTTTTACCGTTTTAGAACTATCAGCGTTTTAACGCATAGCGCAAACCGCCATGTTTGCCCCCTCCCCCCCACCTTATCGACCACTTTTGAAATAGGCGACATACGTAATTTTGATCACCACAGTCCATATTACAATAATCAGCAATAACATTGCGTACTACTTTTATGCATGCTCAAACCCCCTCAGCTCCTGGACTATAGCTTCAAGGTTGCACCCTTCCCTCCCCCCCTTCACAATTCCCTGTGGCCCGCTCGTTTCGAGGTCATTGTCCAACCCCTCTCACCATTCTATTGTTTTGCCTTTCCAGTATTATTATTCTGAGTTTTTCTTTAAACATTAAATAAAATAAATCATGGAAGTCGTTTAAAGGAATAAAAGTGATAAAACTTTAATGAACTAAACTACTGACTCAAAGACTTGCCTACAACTATTATTGTCTTAATGGTTTTGGGACTGCTGATGGGTTTTTTATTGCCCCATTACCCTAGTAATAAATTATGAAAATCCTAAACAAACATCTGATAAACCTTTTTATGTGCTCTTACCAATACAGAGAATTGAAAGTAACTAATTGTTATAGTCTGTACTGAACAGAAAATGTACTGAGGAAAATACTGTACCGTACCCGACTTTAACAGTGCACCGCAGACCCCTAATATTTGACTCTACTTTCTTGTCTCGTTATCGTACAGAGTGTATGCAATTTGAGCATCGTATTGAAAACAGGTGGTGAGTCGAGGGTCTTTGACCTTGATAATGCCTGAGCCTTGCTGGAGTGGAGACAATGGTTTATGGTTTGTTTACATCCTATCCTACTACCCTCCTTTATTTACTTCCACTGGAAAAAAATGTACTTTGAGCGTATGGCCTCGGCTGGTGCGTCCTAGGACTGTTTTGGCACTTGCGTAATTGCTGACTGAGTGTGTGAGACTTTTTGATAGACATTTTGTTTTTGTTTTATCAAAAATGTCTTGATATTGTGTAAATAATGTGTTAAATTGTGTATTCTATTTTATTTTTATGTTTATAATTATGTATGCAGGTTAAGTGTAAGAAAGGGCCATGTTGCCCTAAATTTGCCTGTTGAAATAAAGGATTTTTATTTCATTTTCATTTCATTTCCTTTATTTACTTCCATGACTTAAACACGCTGCCAGTCTATTATATTCTTTGGTCGCTGGTATTACCACAGATTATGATAATTTTCTCAAATTGTAAAGTAAAGTTAATATTTCTGGTACTTTAATTTAATGTTGATTGATCCATTTTGAAAGGAATTGTTTAATGTTTTACAATACTTTTGAGTGTCATGTCATGAAAAGTAATACAGTTTTCACATTAGACTCTTGACCAAAGAGGATGTTTTGAACAGTTTAAGTTCCTTCATTGTGTATTGTTCCTACTTTTGTTTGTTTAGTTGAGTTGTTATTGACTATTAATTGCTGAATATTTTGCCTTAATTAGATAACTATCCCTTGCACAAATTAAATAAAGAATTCATTAAGGACTTAGGATTTGTTAATTTTGTGTTTTGTTCAAGTTTTTATTTGTTAATTTTAATTTGTCTCCCCAGCTTGTAAAGCCAGCTATTAAATTTCAATTTTTTTAAATAATATTTTTGGCATTATTTAATTTTCTACACCTTGATTATTTACATAATTTGTATTGGCAAGATTGGTATTGGTATACTTGACATTTCATTGTGTGAACTTAAATTGTAATAATTTTCTTAATAGGGCACAAAAAGATTCAATTTAAAAAAAAAAATCAAAAAGATTCGAGATTCGAGGTTTGATTTTTTAAGATTTTTGAGATTCGAAATTTCCGGATTCGACCATCACTAATCCATAAATTTTTTAGTAAAAATTAAAAATAATTTATCATCCTCCTAAAGTGTTATCCTATTTGGTGAACCCATGACTCTTCCTGGCAACACTAAACAATGCCATTTTGATAAGATTTTTGTTCAGTAACCTTACAACCTACAACGGATATTTAAAGTTTTTGCCAGTTTTATAATTAAAATAAGCCACAGACAGTGTGCCGATGTAAAACACTGAACAGTGAGTGTAAGTGATAGGACAAATTATTATAGCTATAGCACCTTATAGGTCACCATTTGTATCTCAGAAACTGTTAGATTTAGAGAAAACTTTAAATGGGGAACTATTTTCTTTCATATTATTCATTCTGATAGTCCCTGGACTACCCCCCATTTTATTTCAAACCCATTTTATTTCATCAAAGAATTTTTAAATTGTAATCTCGAAACGACCATTTGAATTCCAGATACAACCTAGTTTTACTCTGACGTAACCTTCTAAGATTTTGTGATTTTTTAAAGTTATAGCACTCATTTTTAGTGTTACTATATCAATCCTTTGTGATTGATTTTAATTATTTAGTTTATAACTTTTTATTTATGTTAGTTTAATGACGCTATTCAAGACATATTGTCTAAACTTTGTTAATAAAGAATATTTGATTGATTGATTAGGCTTACCTCCGTCAGCAGTCCAAAGTTTTGGACTACTGACGGAGGTAAGCCTATAAAGTTTGGGCTTTAAATAAATGATCCTGGCTAATGAAACAGCTAATCTTAGTCAGTAACAAAGCTACACAGATCATCTCACACCATTCTACACTCATCCTTCACTCATATTTGGGTTAAAATTAGGGATGGACGAGATTGGATTTTTAGTTCGAGACGAGATTTTTTATTTCTCATAAAATTTCGAGACGAGATCGAGACGAGATTTCTCTTCTCATACACAACGGGAAATGCACGTTCGAAATTTTTACCTGATTTTGTAACATTGTTAGATGACTGTTTAAATACTAAAATAATGATAATAGGCAAGAATATTTACAATCTTTCATTAAATAACATCAGCATAACATTTTTTTATTAATCACGCCTAACTTATTAAAAATGCCTACAATTAGGAAACATGGTGATATCAGTTAGGATAGAGTTCAACTTATCCTAAAATAAAATAAATCATAAAATAAAAGCAATATTAATTTTTATAAAATAGTTACTTGTTTTGACTTTTTTATAGTAATAAAACATTCCTCACACTGCTTACACTTAACAAAACTTCTCAAATGTTATTAAAGTAATATTATTAAAATAATGAAAGTAATATTTACATTAAAATAATGAAAGTAATATTTACATTAAAAGAATTAAAGTAATATTTACATTAAAAGAATTAATTAAATAAGAACGCCTTCGAAAAGGAAACGCAACTACAACACGCTCCTGTATTGCGGGTATTGCATTGACTTTCTGCAGGCGTTTTTAATTTTTTTTTTTTTTTTTTTTTTTTTATTCTCGTCTCGATAAAAATCTCGGCCAAAAAGTAATCTCGTCTCGTGTAACGAGATTGAAAATTTCCCGAAAATTTCCCGAAATTTCGAGACTTGACCATCCCTAGTTAAAATACGCACCTAAGAGGCGTTCCCATCTTAATGATTGATTATTGATTATTATTGATTTCTTTCTACATAAAAAATAGGTACTTTGGTATTGTACTGATCACACTAAATTGGGTAAGGTTACCAAAAACATCTAGGTCCTAACCTATTAGGATAAAATAACAAAATAGGTTAGGTTAAAGCACAATTCCAAGAATATAAATTGTTTAAAATTGTTCTCAATGTGAAGATAAGGAAAATGTCTTGAAAGCAGAAATGTGACCTACTGGTATTTTAGTAAGTGGCTACTAGGCCCTATTTATCAAAACACTACCAGAATAGAAACTAATTTTTTAGGCAAGAGAGTGAATCAAATCCGAATGGACTATGACTTCACTGCGGCAACACATCATCAGTGCCATATGGTGGCTAGCCTAAATGTTCAGTTCCTAAGGATAAAATTTTACCTAGTGACATCATTTGCCAACTCATGTGATATAGACCTGCTCTAGGGATGGACGAGATTGGATGTTTAGTTAGAGACGAGACGAGACGAGGTTTTTTATTTCTCATAAAATTTCAAGACGAGATCGAGACGGGATTTCCCTTCTCATACACAATGGGAAATGCACGTTCAAAATTTTTACCTGATTTTGTAACATTGTTAGATGACTGTTTAAATACAAAAATAATGATAATAGGCAAGCATATTTACAATCTTTTATTAAAAAACATCAGCATAACATTTTTTTATTAATCACGCCTAACTTATTAAAAATGCCTACGATTAGGAAACATAGTGATATCAGTTAGGATAGAGTTAAACTTATCCTAAAATAAAATAAATCATAAAATAAAAGCAATATTAATTTTTATAAAATAGTTAGGTACTTGTTTTGACTTTTTATAGTAATAAAACAATCCTCACACTGCTTACACTTAACAAAACTTCTCAAATGTTATTAAAGTAATATTATTAAAATAATAAAAGTAATATTTACATTTAAAGAATTAATTCAATAAGAACGCCTTCGCAATGGAAACGCAACTACAACACGCTCCTGTATTGCGGGTATTGCATTGACTTTCTGCAGGAGTTTTTAATTTTTTTTTTTTTAATTCTCGTCTCGATAAAAATCTCGGCCAAAAAGAAATCTCATCTCGTGTAACGAGATTTAAAATTTCCCGAAATTTCGAGACTTTACCATCCCTAACCTGCTCTATGTATGTGATCACCGGTTAGGGGAAGAAGAAACTGACTTCTATAATCTATAATGAAATAAATTAACTAACCCTGGTCCCTGGCTAACTCTTGGTGTAGAAATGTGCACAAAAATGGCGGTGTGGCCAAATCTAAAGTTTTAGATCTTTCCGCATTTTGTTTGGAATTAGACTTTGAAGTAACTGGAGTAAGACTCCTTGAATTTGACATTTTATAGTCTTATCTGTACACAACTTCCGTTACTGTAATTTATCATTTACCTTAAAAAGATTAATAGAAAAAAAAATACTGTACTAAATAAAATTTGTTGTGAAAAAGAGGATAGTTGCTGACCTCCTGCTGATGGACGCTGCTGATTTTATGAGACTTCACTAAGTTAACAATTTTAATAAGCCTATACCAAAACAATTGTTATTATTATTGATTTGTATTAAATAAAATTGAGTTTATTATACATATTATGATGTGTCTTTGTCTTTATTTCCACTTTTATATTGTTGGTTTGGGACTAAAACAATGCATTCAGGCAAATCGATGCATCCAGTATTTCAATGCATGCTGAATTGAATATAAATCAAAATGATACATTTTTCATGCATTGCACACCACTAGTCTTGAGTGTCTCTTGTGTATATTCTATGCCTGCACTTCTCCAATGGTAAGCTAGCTGCTATCCTCAAATTCAAATTATCTTCATTTAAATTATGTACAAAACGTACAATAAATAGTGTCAAGCTTATAATTACTATGTACAAATACTTAACCTAAACAAAAAATACAGAAAATAAAACTATCTATAGCTGTATACATTCATAAACAGTTCATCTATTGAGTAGATGGGTTTTTCTATTAAAAATTCTTTAAGTTTTTGTCTAATTTTTTTTTATCCTTAATATATTTTCTTTCATTTGGTATTATCTAAATTATCTTTAAAAACTTTACACCGGCATATGAGGGCTTATTTTTATCCCTCCTCCGTGTTCTGCAATTCAAATTACTGGCATAGAGCTTATCATTGAACACTTGTACTGTATAAAAAGATTATTTTACCTCTTGCCCACTTGTGTGTTATGGAACCAGTCCAGAAAGTCCAGCATGAGATTGCCCACCCCGGATGTAGCATCTTGTTGGTTGCCTAGGCTAAGTCCCAGCCGCACATTGTGCTCAATTACACTCAACCAATCCTGTCTCTCCGAGATTCCTTCACACCATATCTCTGTGAGACGGTTACGAAGAGCTGGCGATAACTGTGGAAAACATACAACAAAGTAGATACACGGCTAATTTACACACTAGATTCAAATCTGGTACATTTCCATTTATTTCAGGCTAGTCCTACAGGGTCACATCAATTAAGTAATATCCATCTGCATTCTGCATACTGTTGATTAAAATTAAGTGTACTTAAAGAGACAGAAATGCAGATTTATTACACCAATTATTTTGTCGTCTATAATTCCAAAAATTATATACGCAAGGTTTAGTAAAAACCTTCTGAAAAAAGTTGAATAGTATAAAAATGTTATTAAGTAAAATCTATTAGAATACTATCAGAATAGACAGTTTTGTAGCCTGGTGAAATACTGTAAGAATAATACTAAAGATATTTTTCCTATGACATATTATTAATAATATAATAATTATTAATAAGAATATGCATACAGTAGAACCTCTTTAATCCGAACCCATGTAATCCGAACGTCCAATAATCCGAACATCTCATTGCTATACTCTATACACAGGACAGTAGTTATATATTGTATACTGTATTTAATGTACAGTTCTATTTATTTACTATGCTTACTACTTTATTATATAAACACTGTATTTTACTTTATAAAGCATTTTTAAACATTTTTGATCTATTTTAGCCATGTTTTAGCTATTGTTATGTAAAGACAACAATATGTTCTGTAATCAAACTATTCAATAGTCAGCACCACTCCTGGTCCCAATTAGTTCAGATTAAAGAGGTTCTACTGTATATGTTAATCGGGAATGTGAGCTATCATCATGCCAAATTTACACCCAATCCGACCAGTAGTTAATGCGTGATTGAACTTCAAACAAACAAACACACAAACTTTCACATCATATCATATCATACTAATATTATTATAAACGTGAAGTTTGTGTGTTTGTTTATTAGTTTGAACAGGGTGACTAGTTAATTTTCATTTTAAAATTCAAGACTAATTCCAGACTTTTCAAGACTAATTCCAGACTTTTCAAGACTAATTCCAGATTTTTTTCAAGACTATTTTTTTTTCAACAAATAGTGAGTGTCGATATCAAAATGTATAAGTTCTTGTTTCTTGATACCGATAACAATTTTTATTTATAGTTTAACACGTTCGCTACTGCAATAGTACGAAATTTTCCATTCACATGGACCAGCGACGCACATATGCGACGGCCGGTTTCCACCCATAGACTGCCGTCGCATATATGCGACGGCTAGTCACATTAAAATAGACTGCCGACGCATATTTGCATCGGGGTTCTAATGTTATTAAAGTGCTTATATCTTTGTAGTGGTCTAATTGAAGGCACTGAATTCCCTGCAGTGGTCTACAGACGCACAACTGCGTCGCTTGGTCTGTGGATATGATGATTGGTGACGTCATATAATAGTTGGAAAAACTGGTATTTACTTTTCTGCATCACTGTATGTATGTATGCTGCATTATCCTATGTAGCTTTTATATTTGTTCAGTTATGAACTGTTCTTGAATAATCTGTTTTTTTTTTACTTACTTTCACCTTAAAACACAAAAAATGTACTGTCGCATATATGCGACGTTTAGTCTATTTCAAGAAAACTATGATAATTTTCACTATTGTCTTCGCTGTAGACCGGGCGTCGCAAATATGCGACATTACTAAAGGTTATAAAAAATACAAAAAAACAAGAATAATTTATTTACAAACACGATTGTAGCGTATTACAATGTAAATGATCACTGTTTTACAAGTTTTCGTCCGTGGTCTGTGTGTACTGTTATCCAAGTGACAGCCGGTCTATGTGTAAGATTCAAATGTATACCTCGGTCTGTGGCAATGACCGCGGCGTCGCATATATGCGACGCTCAGTAGCGAACGTGTTAACGAAATTTTCTAAATAATTTGGTTGTATTACGCACACCCTATATAGTATTATTAATATAATGGTTTTAAAGTAAAGACAAAATGCAGCAATGAAAAATTCTAACTAGCCGATCGTGGCAAAATTATGATCATTTCCCACGACCGTGTAGACATCACCTTTGCTCCCGCGGTCACTGTAACGTCATCGTCGTCTCTCGCGGTCACAGAAACGTGATCGCCGTCTTTTGCGATCGTGGCAAAATCATGAAAATTCCAGACTTTGATATCAAAATAAAGACTAATTCCCAATTTTTCAAGACCATTTCGAAATTCAATACTAATTCCCGACTTTGCCGATTTTCCCGACTACTAGACACCCTGGTTTGAAGATCAACCACAAATTAACTACTGGGCGAATTGGGTTGAAATTTGCTATGGTGATAGCTCATATTCCCATAACATTAACATATTGACATTTTTTATCTCAAAAATCTTTTTGGGCACCAGTGGCTAGGGGTGTGCGAGTATTCGAACATCGAGCTTTTTCGGATGAAAGATAAGGAAGAAACAAAAAGTGGTCACGTGTGCAAATGTAGTCGGCGAGACAATAAGGCTGTAAACGAGTATCGTCGTGTCGTTGTTCCTTGTTTGTTTACTTTTTCAGATTCCTTATCAAACGCCCCTATCTGCTATCTCTCTTTCTCTCTCTCTCCCTCTCTCTCTCTCTCTAACAATGTACTGATTAAACAGATTGTGGTTGACGACTTTTGTACTTATAAGTTTCCCTGCGGTTATTTTAGTTCAATCAATCACATAACCTTTCTAATGTTTATCAAAATAATTAATTAATATGTTTTGTATTTTATTTCCTTTAAACCAACCCCTATTTACCATCTGTATTTTATAGAATAAAATGTTTGTTTATAAAGTTTGACTGGCCACACAATTTTGTACCTATTTTATTTTGTATAAAGTAGGGATGGTCAAGTCTCGAAATTTCGGGAAATTTTCGGGAAATTTTCAATCTCGTTACACGAGACGAGATTACTTTTTGGCCGAGATTTTTATCGAGACGAGAATTAAAAAAAAAAAATAAATAAATTAAAAAAAAAAAAAAAATATTAAAAACGCCTGCAGAAAGTCAATGCAATACCCGCAATACAGGAGCGTGTTGTAGTTGCGTTTCCTTTTCGAAGGCGTTCTTATTTAATTAATTCTTTTAATGTAAATATTACTTTAATTCTTTTAATGTAAATATTACTTTCATTATTTTAATAATATTACTTTAATAACATTTGAGAAGTTTTGTTAAGTGTAAGCAGTGTGAGGAATGTTTTATTACTATAAAAAAAGTCAAAACAAGTAACTATTTTATAAAAATTAATATTGCTTTTATTTTATGATTTATTTTATTTTAGGATAAGTTGAACTCTATCCTAACTGATATCACCATGTTTCCTAATCGTAGGCATTTTTAATAAGTTAGGCGTGATTAATAAAAAAATGTTATGCTGATGTTATTTAATGAAAGATTGTAAATATTCTTGCCTATTATCATTATTTTAGTATTTAAACAGTCATCTAACAATGTTACAAAATCAGGTAAAAATTTTGAACGTGCATTTCCCGTTGTGTATGAGAAGAGAAATCTCGTCTCGATCTCGTCTCGAAATTTTATGAGAAATAAAAAATCTCGTCTCGTCTCGTCTCGAACTAAAAATCCAATCTCGTCCATCCCTAGAAAGTAACAGTTACTTTGAGGATTATATGTATATATATCAATAAGTGGCGCGTGCTGTAATGAGTGCTTTTTATTATCAAAATAAGTAATGAGTTATTAATTTTTGATAGTACATGGGTCATTGAATACCATAATGTGATGTAGTTTCCTATTTGTATCTTGCAAATAATAATAATTGATAGTTAATTCTGGAAATGAAAAATAGTGATCGCATTCATAAACCTGTTGTCAAAACAGCAACGAGGGTGTAAGGGTTTATTGTTTCAGACGCAAGGGTGTTTCAAGGACAAAGTGTTGGGGGGGAGGGGGGCGGTGAGACTGTGTGAAGGGGAGGAAACTGGTTTTGGCTATTTATTGATTAGTTCGCCGACCCTTCTAGATAACAAAATTGAGTGACAGTGTTAAATCATCGTGTTCTGCATTTCATTTCTTGTTTACTTTGTGTGTTATTCTATTAATTCTAGTGCTTTGGTCTATTTCCTCTATATGTCAATTTTATATTTTTTAATATATAAGTAAAACTTGTCTCTCCACCTTTTTGGATCCAAACCAACCATGTTCTTTTTTGATTAATAGGATTCATAAAACAAAAATATGTTGTGCATGGAAAACAACAAGAATAATCACGTGTTTTAAAATTTATTTTGTATTTATTTATACAAAATAGAATTAAATATTCATAGTAGTTACAATATACATATGTAATCGACTTGCTAGTTGTTTTGTCGTCATTCAAGGTCGCGTTGCTGTTCTGTTATGAAAGACAATCTGATTATCTCAGTCTGCACTGCATATCTCTTCAGGCCTTCAATCGATATCCTTTTTTTTCTTGCATCTTCATTTAGTTCAGTTCAGTTCTTATCGTGATTATCTACTATTTGATGTCTTGACAATTCTCAATGTTTTTAAACATATTAAAATAACATTGTGTTTATTTAAAAATTGACTGAACATTATTATTATTATGCACTTTTTTAAGAAAAAAAAGTTTAATAATTAAGATAAGGTTACGCTAGGAAAAGCTCGGCTCGAAAAAACTCGAGCTCGAACATTTTTTAAAAAGCTCGGCTCGGCTCGGCTCGAGGTTGAAAATCACTATTCGCACACCCCTACCAGTGGCTCTGGATTTTTCCATGTTTACCTTATGAGAATTCATTTTTAAAAGGAATTAAATATTTTGTCAGCTGTTTCAACTACACAAGTTGGTTTTTTATGTTATTCAATAGCATTAAAAAGTTATTATTGTTTACCAACAGTATAATTATTTTTTACAATCATGACAACAGCTAATTTGAACCAAGCAGCAACAAAAATCTCTGAGAACTTTACTTTTTGCTATTGTTTAGGTGCAGTGGTAGAACATTATGGCTATGGTAGTGTGCTATACTACAGTATACTGTAATAATAATCCTACCCAGTACGGTACAATTCAAATTCATTTACCTCTTTCTTCCCAAAATCACCACCGGGGTTCATTGTTCCAAAGAACCTGAAGTTTTCTTTGGCAACCACAAATTGTTCATCAGCAACTCCTTTTTCACTCAGAAGCAACGTTCGTTCTGGCTCTGCACAAACAAAGTAATGAATCTTCTCACAATTAGTACGACTGTACAAAGTAGTGTAAAATACAAAGTAACAGACTATACAGACTATGAAGAGTATTAAGATGACCTCTCTTTTTTTAATGTTCCACCTTAACATTGTAACGGTCAAATATTGAGAGTAGGAACGTTGCCGTTTCGTAATTCAAATAGTGCGGTGTTGTGGTTCACTTGATCGGCCACGCACTGCGCCAGCGTCGTGACTGACCCCTATAAAAGCCGCGCAGGACGGAGGACAGTCAGAATCGAGCGCTGGGCGAATAGCTAGCAACATCTCTCCCTGGTAGGTCGAGGGCGGAATAGCACGGTAAATAAACCAGTGGTGAAATAACGCTGGTAACGTAGAATATTAGGTGTTAGGCCAGGGCGAAATGGCCCGTGGACCAGTGATAATCGATTCCGTTTATTGTAAGCATCGTTGGTTTTAATTCTAAAAGTGAAACACGGTATACCTATTAAGTAGAGATTAGTTTTATTTTCGAAGTTAGTAATTTTAGTTAGTTATGACCAGTGTTTCACTCACGGAATTAAAACCAATTATTCTATATTTGCTAATTTGTTTAAATTAAGGCCTAACCCGGGCAGTGATGAATGTGTCTTTTACTGAGGCTGATGCTTAACAACCATATCTGAGCCCATATTTTTTAAATAAATACTATTATTATTACCACTAACCCTGGACTTACTCAATTAGAATTAGCTATCTGAGGCCGACAGTACAATTTTTGTCCCACGACGAAATTTCACCGTCACAACATAGGCTCTTGTACAGAACTGTTTTACACATTACTTCATTCTGCCTAGAGGTTTGGGGCAATAGCACTTAGATAGTAAACTCTATTGGTGATTGCAGGATCCGAAGTCACGCGATCTCCCACAAGACCAGCTCGCTACCCCACTATCAATACCCATGAAAATTATAAATTAAACAACCAAGGACAATTTTACAAAATGTGTGGGTGTTGGTAATGATCAGTAAAAACCTAAACTCAAATCTTGGAACTACTGAACATTTGGACGATTTTTGGTTTTCAGATTTTATTGGCTAGTTTCAAAATTCACAAATTCAAAGAGCCAACATGTATTTTTTTATTCAAATTCTTTATTCACTCTTACCTTCCTGAAATGTAGAAAGATAGGAATTGCCTCTCCCCTGAGTTTTGTAGTTTTATGAAATGTAGAAAGATAGGAATTGCCTCTCCCCTGAGTTTTGTAGTTTTATATATTTTATTTAATATTTTATCCTATGTATGATACTTTAAATTCCACAAGGTGGTGCGATATGCTGGATGCTCTGGAGAACACCTTCCACGTTCTGGCATACCTCATGCGTATCATAGAGGATTATCTCCGGTTCCGCCTCATTTATGACACTACAGAGGGCCCACGGACGATGAGTGTCACTTCCGGTGCTGCCCCAGGTTCCATACTTGGCCCAGACCTCTGGAATGTTGCGTATGACAGCCTCCTGAGGTCTGAAATGCCTGAGGAAACTGTTTTGGTTGGGTACGCAGACGACGTTGCACTTTTGATAGCTGCACGTAGCGTTGAGCTGGCTCAGCTAAAGCTGAACCGAGTTATGCGTACTACAAACGCATGGATGACAGACCACGGTCACTTGCTTGCTTTGAGCAAAACTGAGATTGTGATATAAACAAAATAACGGATTGACACCATAGTGCCGTTGAGGGTAGGGGCCGTCAAAGTCCAGACCGTTCGTTCTGCAAAGTACCTTGGCGTTACGGTGGACAGCAAGCTTAGCTGGCGGGATCAGATTTTCCGTACGGCGGTCAAGGCCGCTAGGGTGGTCTCCTCTCTTAGCCGGTTGATGGCCAATGTCGGAGGGCCTCGGTCCAGCCGTAGAAGGCTGTTAATGTCTTCTGTCCAGTCTGTACTCTTGTACGGTGCTGAGGTGTAGGCAGACGCTTTCAATAAGGAGGTATATAGGATGCGGCTCGCACGAGTGCAGCGTCAGGCAGCACTAAGAGTTGCACCCGCCTACCGAACAGTGTCCGAACCCGCCGTCCTGGTGGTTACTGGAGTCATCCCCGTCAAACTTTTGGCGGCGGAGAGAAAGGCAGTTTATCGGCGCCGTGGGGAGGACCAGACACGAAGAGAGGAACGCACCCGCACCTACCAGCTGTGGCAGGAGATCTGGGAACAGGAGACTCGGAGACGCTGGACCATGCGACTGATACAGCAGGTCCAACCTTTGGTTAATCGGCGGTGCGGAGAGGTGGACTTCTACCTCACCCAATTTCTGACGGGTCACGGCTTTTTCCGGTCGTACCTGTTCAGGATGGGCAAAGCCGTGTCACTCGATTGCATATACTGCCCAGGCATTCCCGATGACGTGGAACATACCTTTTTCCACTGCCAGCGTTGGGAAAGCTATTCTCCGCGCCAAAAAGCTTGACCTTGACCGGGATGCGGTGTAGGTCATGAAGTATCTAAATGCCAAAAACGGTGAGAGCCCTGAGGGCTTACGTGACATGTTGGCCTGACTTGAAGTAATGTGACAAACAATTCCAGGTCTGTGTCCAACTGAGTAGAGGGGTTTTTTTAGTGAGTAGTCTGTGATAGTGTTGAGGATTTTATATAGTACTGTTTTCCTTGTGTTATATAATCAAATATCTTTTTAATGTATATTTTAATATCAGCTGCTTATTATTATGTTGTCCTAATATGTTCACAGTTTGAAGTGTTAATGTTTTAATATCTTTCCTTTTTACATCAATTATTAATAAAGTATTTTATGTATTTTATTCCCTCATTTCATAAGGTTACGGGCCCAGAAGACGTTTTTGATATAGTTCATTTTGAATATGTATAAAACTACATTAAAATGAAAAATTCTGGACTGATTGTGTTTGGTAAGATTTCTAGGCTTATGAAACATATTTTGTTACCCAATTTCTTGAACTGAATTTTGTTTTGTTTGACCTAAAATGGAAACTACACAAGAAAACACTAATACAACTCATACTATTACACCTACCTCAAGTAATACAGGATTGTCTAGTATGACAAATATTATAATGGGAGGAAATAGTTATGTTGAACGTCTAGAGGGTGTCTCAAATTATAACAATTGGAAGTTTTCAATGAAAATGGCATTAATAATTGATGGACTTTGGGATTGTGTATCTGTTGATACTGAAATCAAAGATAAAAACAGGGATCAAAAGGCTCTTGCAAAAATTTGTTTAAATGTTTTGCCTACTTGTTATCCTTATGTTAGGAATGCTGACACTGCTAAAGAAGCTTGGGATAATCTCCAGAATGCTTTTGAAAACAAAAGTTTGGTTAGAAGACTTAGTCTTTTAAGACGTTTACTTAGAACTAAATTGGAAGATTTTAGCACAATGGCAGACTATGTAAATGGAACTTTGTCCTTAGTTCAACAGTTAGCAGACATAAATCACATTGTTGGTGATGAAGAAGTTGCCATGCTACTTCTGGGTGGTTTACCTTCAGAATATGAACCGCTTATTATGGGTATTGAAGTTACTCAAACAACTGTCTCAAGTGAGTTTGTTAAGACTCGTCTCTTACAAGAGGATTTTAGGAGGTATGAAAATAATTCAACTGGAAGTGAATCAGCTTTGGCAATTAAACATTCTTATGCCAAGAAAATTGAGAAGTTTAAAGATTCAAAAGGTAAGTTTAGACCACAGAAGAAACTTATTTGCCATCATTGTAACCAACCTGGACATATTAAGCCTAACTGTCATAATCTTGGTAATAATTCTCAGCACAGATCTAAGGCAAATTATGTTGGGAAACACAAAGAAAATGACAATCTGTTGCTTACAACTGTTTTCCATACTGAAAATATAAAATCTTATGAATCCAAAGTTGATCATAATGATTGGGTAATTGATTCAGGTTGTACAACTCATATGAGTAATCAAATGGTGAAAAATGGTAAGTTTGAAAAGAAGGAAGTTTTGGTGGCCAATAATGCAAAACTTACAAGTAATTGTGTTGGTGATATTGAACTTTTTGTAGAAAATTCTAATAAAGTTACTGTTAAGGATGTTTTATACATACCAGAACTTGCTACTAATTTGTTGTCTGTAAATAAAATTACAAAGAAAGGTAAAATAGTAGTTTTTGACAAAGATTCGTGCAGAATTTATTCAGAAAATGACTGTCCAATAGAGGGAAATAGTGACATTTCTGCTGTGAATGACGGTGGTGTATATAAACTAAACTTAATTGAGCCAACAGAGTTGAATGGTCACTCTGAATTCAAAGAAGATAATTCATCAGCTGCTCTTACGGTTGCAACTAAAGGTACGTGGCACCGTAGATTAGGCCATCTAAGTCCTAAAGGAATGGATTTACTAAGAAATGGTTTAGTTAATGGAGTAAATTATTCAAAATCAGAAAATGTTGATCTAAGTCACTTACGGGTTTTTGGCTGTAAAGCTTATGTTCATATTCCCAAATGTTACAGAAAGAAACTTTACACAAAAGCAAAGCCTTATATTATGGTTGGATATTGTGAACATTCCAAAGGCTACAGACTAATTGATCCTAAGAAACCTTATTCTATAATAAAAGCACGTGATGTTGTTTTTGTAGAAGACCAATGTCATACCTCTGATGTGAAAGATGACCTGAAAAATGAAAGTCGACAAGTTGAATACACTGTTATAAACAGTAGCACAACTGAACTTGTGGAGGAACCAAACAATGATATAAGATCTGTTGACAACGAAGAAAATCTTGTTTATTCTAACAGTGAAAGTGAACCGGAAGTTTCAGAAACTGAAAATTCTTATCTAGAACAGCAAGTTTTGGAAGAAGGAAATTCTTCGATGGAAGATAAGAGACCTGAACGTTATCGCAGAAAACCATTATGGATGAACGACTTCGTTTCATATCAAGCTGTTGATGTTTTCGCAGAACCACAAACTTTCAATGAGGCATTTGAAAACAATTTCAAAGAAGAATGGATGAATACCATGGATAACGAGTATAATTCTCTAATTAAGAACGATGTTTGGGAGTTGGTTGATCGTCCGAAGAATGAAAATGTGGTTAAACGCAAGTGGGTTTATAAAACTAAGAAAAATGTAGATGGTGATCGTGAGAAGTTCAAAGGACGTCTTGTTGCTAAAGGTCAAGAATATGGTTAAGAAGTGCATTTAAATTAAGTATTTACCAACTGAAAATATGACGGCTGATATTTTAAACCAAATCTTTGTCACATGAAAAATGTAATCACTTTGTGACGGACTTGGGACTTAAAGACTCAGATTAAATAAAAAAAGATGTTTGATTAAGGGGGAATGTTGAGGATTTTATATAGTACTGTTTTCCTTGTGTTATATAATCAAATATCTTTTTAATGTATATTTTAATATCAGCTGCTTATTATTATGTTGTCCTAATATGTTCACAGTTTGAAGTGTTAATGTTTTAATATCTTTCCTTTTTACATCAATTATTAATAAAGTATTTTATGTATTTTATTACCTCATTTCATCAGATAGATTCAGGAGTCTCACACTACAGGCTGGATACCTGTGTGCGTAAAAGCATTTTCCCTCCTCTCCCTTAAAAAAAAAAGATACTTTAAAACCGATAAGTGATTGTTAGGTAAATAAAGATTAATTACTATTTAGTGCATTGTATTTTTGTAACCATAACCATGCAAGTTTACCCAGCAGCGAGTTGAGACGTTCCAACACGCTGTCGTCTGCTAATGAGATTTCATCAGCCAAGAACACATGTCCACCGCGCATAGCCTCCACTAATGGACCGTCAACCCACTCGAACAACCTGCCTGCACTCCCCTGTGAAGTAAAAAATCTATATTATACCATGGTCACCTTTGTCCATGGTGATTACCTTTGTCAGGATGTAATTGAGTTTTTGTTTATTCTCTCATCAGAAGTTCAGTAGGCCTACCTACTACTAACAACAAATATTCAGTATTATCCAAAAATGCATTATTCTCTACATCCATGTTAACAGGCAATAAAATGAAAACCAAACAAAGCAGTATGAATGACATCAATTCCCAAAACAAGCACGGCTGAACCAAGAAAGTATCACATGTGTGTTTGCAGATTCAAACAAGTGGTCATCAGTGACAGACGGGCATACAGAGAAGGCGGTCCCTGAGAGCTAGGTCGTAGCTACCTGGTGTTAGGGGCCAGGCCAACGCAGTTCTTTGGCGACCGGGTTGCTGCCACCAGATAGTCTAAAGTAAAAATCAACTAATCTTTATTCATGATGCACATATAAATGTACATTGAATGGAGTCATGAAGATGTGTCAAGAGCTCCATAAGACTCAATACAATTTTTGTTTACAGATCTAGTGGCTGACGGGTGACTGCGACCTAGTGAGAAGACGTTTTAATAGGATAATGATTTTGATTTTTTACATATACACACACAAAATAAAATAAGTATGTTTTCTTTTAAAGTGCTATAATGTGTAGGCCTATAAAACTATTACCTCTTTACAACGATCCCTAACAGGCCGCAAGGCACCAAGAAAATCAGAACTCTCTGAATGTTGATGGCAGTTTACTGAAAACAGCTGTTGACAGTTCAGTGCAGCTAACAGCTGACAAACTGTTGTTTTTCCACATCCAGTGTCACCAACCAGCAAAACTGACTCCTTAAACTCACAGGCCTTTCCTAGAATCAGACCAATTAGGTAGAATAATGAAAACAAGGAGAAGACAGGTATCAAATTCAAACCATATGAAACAAAAATAAAAAGCAGTTGTAACAGGTAAAAAATCTAAAAATGAGAAATTTTACTTTAAAAACTTTTTTTGTTGATTTTGTTAACAAACCAAACACACATTTCATTTAAGGTTACTTATTGGTTGTTCTTCTAAAGAAATGCAACGTTTAAAATAAACAATAATGCTCCTTTACTTGTTAATACAAGACCAAAGATAACATTCCAAAAAGGGTTTTTATGAATGTACCTGATTTAGTGGCCTTTATAATGAAAGGTCTGGTTTAGGCATACGTTTACTTCTAGTTTCAGACAGTGTTCTCTGGGGTGAACTCAAGTTTTGTAGGCTAAAAGGTTTGATTTACTACCTAAAAGGGTAATATAATCCACTTGCTAGGGGGGTTCCCGTGTGCATTTTATGTATAGAAAAACACCCTAAGGGATCATGTAGGTACTATGTGGGTTATCATTTTTCACGTGGGTGCCAGCTTGGCAGAGTGGGCATAACCTCAGAATCCGCCATTTTAAAAATGGCGGCGGCATTTATTACATGAAACTCATTAGGAGCTTATATCTCGAAAACGGTAATATATAGCGAGTTACTTTTATAACAATAAATGTTGCTTATACAATAAGGAACAACTTTTGTATTTACAAAAATGCCCTAAATATTACTATTTAGGAGTAGTTGAGCAATTTATGTAAATTTAACCTATACATTTTTACTTTGTTTGACAAAAAATTCTAATATCTTTAAACAAACTTTTCCTTTTTAATTTTGCACATAGCACTTATTTCTCTTTATATTTAAGGTCGAAATACCCCCACCGAAGCAAACCTGCAGACTAAGCAAACATTTACATGGCTGCATTTCTACTAAAATATTAAAATTGTCATATTCATAATATTTAACCTATACATTTTATCTCTGTTGCAAAAAAAATCTAATAATTATAAAAAAGCTGTTATTTTGTAATTTGGCACATAGCAAAAAATTTTTCTTCGCATTTAAGGTAAAAAACCTGCAAAAAGCATTCGAGAAGCTTCTGGAAGATATATAAGCTATTAAAATAATATAAAATATTTTTAAATTAATTTTATGTTATTAAATGACGCTTACAAATATAAAAATGAATGTAAACCTTTCTATATACTGAATTTTTATTATTACAAATAATAATAAATCTACGGATGTAATAGAAATTATTATTATAATTAATAACATTTATTATTAACGGCGATAGAGCGAGAACGGGACCGGCGGCTAAGTTGGTGCATCGGCCAAGCATTAACGTCGCGTTAACACAACCAGTACCTTGACATTGTCCTTGGTGGTAGGCTGCTTTGGACTGATTGTATTGATATTGAACTAGTTTCGTGGATCATAAAATTTGAGAGCAGTTATTGGATCTAAATTATAAGCCTTTTGGGTTAAGAGGAATTAGATCTGTTCCCTTTTATAGTCATCAGAAAAATTAAACTGTTCACAATATACTTGTGAGCATTGCGGCAAAGAGTAGCCACCATCACTGTGTCCAAAACTCAAAGGAACGAGTTGAAAAACGTGTTCTTCAATGCAATGGATTTGGATGTATGTACAATAAAAAGCACGTAAGATATGCTGTATAGTAGCTCTACCAGACAGAAATTCTTTACGAGCAAAGGATGCAGTTCTTTAAGAGTATTCTTTGTGCAGTGACAGTGTACTTATATCCAGTGTCTTAGATCAATCATAGTTTCACACTGAATATCCTTTTTTAAATGTGAACTAGATACTTCACTGTATTTTTCAAACTTTATTCTATCTCTTTTCCTCATCTTTTCCAAAGTCCATTAGCAAAGTACTTGGATTACATTTTAGGGTAGCACGCTTTGTTCCAAATTTGCTGGCAAAGTCACAGCCCGTTAAAATATGGAGTGCTGAGAGAACTGAGCAAAGGTTACTTCCAAGCCTGTTTGCTATAATGTGAACTAGAACATATCATGAAGTTCTGGCTGTACCAAGTCGCATCCACAATTCCTGCAAACCTTCCGAAGTGAATCCATTCATAAAGTGTAAAGCCAACACTACGACATCTGTATCCGAAGACAGAACTACGACTTAATTTGATAACTCGAGCAAAAATGATCCAATTTTGATGAAATTTATCACAAACGTGTAAACCTACGTTTTCAGACGAATTCGGACTATTAAACCAGCACGATCGGACTATGGGAACGGGGGTTTATGGGGAGTTTAATGGGGTAAAAAATGGATTTTTCCGATTTTCAACCCTAAAAACACGAAATTTTATAATGAACGAAACCATTTTGTAGAGCTCAAAAAAGAAATAGCTTTGTATAATGAAGCGTTGTATGCCCAAAAGTTAAGGAGATAATTTAAATTTAAATTTAAAAATTCCCATGTTATTCTTATGGAGAATAAATAAACTGTTTTAGTTTGCTTGTTTATGGATATATTATAGTCAAATTTCAAAAATTTTGTTTCATTCATACTAAGCTATCAACATTTCAATAAAAATATATAAAAAAACACCTCAATACCTTCCCTGAAGCAGCAAACTTAAGTACTCATTACAAATCAATGTCATTTAAAAAGGAAATCAGTCTGTCAATTTTAATATTTTAGTAGAAATGCAGCCAGGTAAATGTTTGCTGATTCTGCAGGTTTGCTGCGACGGGGGATTTAGACCTTAGATGTAAAGAGCAATCAATGCTATGTGCCAAATTTAAAAAACAGTTTTTTTATTTTTTTAAAGATATTAGAATTTTTTGTCAAACAGAGTAAAAATTTTTAGATCAAATTAACATAAATTGCTCAACTACTCCTAAATAGTAATATTTAGGGCATTTTTGTAAATACAAAAGTTGTTCCTTATTGTATAAGCAACATTTATTGTTATAAAAGTAACTCGCTATATATTACCGTTTTCGAGATATAAGCTCCTAATGAGTTTCATGTAATAAATGCCGCCGCCATTTTTAAAATGGCGGATTCTGAGGTTATGCCCACTCTGCCAAGCTGGCACCCACGTGAAAAATGATAACCCACATAGTACCTACATGATCCCTTAGGGTGTTTTTCTATACATGAAATGCACACGGGAACCCCCCTAGCAAGTGGATTAAATAACAAACAATATAAACAAATGTATTTAAAGATTTAAAGACAGTTTAATGTTACAAAATAGAAAACAATCCATTGAAGATTAAGATACTAGGCCTATAATTGTTGAAACTTGAAATGGCAAGACTTGTTGATGAAACTTTTTCTTTCTTCTCCCTTCTGTTGAAGTCCCTAACTGGGACGAAATATTAAGTTTTTCTGTATTGTTTGTGTCATGTGTTTTTGGTAAATTCAGACTCTGCGGGACTTAGGCTAGGCCTATCTTAAGCTAACCTTTGTCTGTTTCAGGTTATCATGTCAATTTTAACTTTGTAGGTAAGCAGGGTGACTACTTAGATTACTGGTTGCCTAATTAAGTAGTTAGTAGCGTGTCAAGTAGTTATTGCCCACAGAGTCACGTCTTAATTATATCATTTCCCCACAAGCTCCCCTGACTAGAGTGGTGATTATAAGGGTGGTGACCCTAGACCATCCCGTTTTTGCATACGATACTTTGGTCCAAAATGGTGAATCCGTCGTCAAATGCAGTGGGAATTTACTTGACATTTTGATATTGAACGCCATAAAGCGGTTCCAAGCCGAAATACGCTATTAAGATGGTTTTCCGGGTTCCGAACAACTGGGAATATAAAAAGAAAGAAACCACCAGGCATTGTCAGAACTTCGAGAACACCCGAAAACATCGCCAGAGTGAGAGCAGTATTGAATGAATGTTTCCTAACAAGGTGATTTCTCGCTTTGGTGACATACCATGGCCGCCAAGGTTACCTGACTTGTCCACTAGTGGTTACTTCCTTTGGGGGTTTCTTAAGGAGTGTGTTTATGCTCACAAACCACACACTCTAGAGGATTTGAAGTTGGCAAACACAGAAGATATCAATGGCATTGAACATGACCTCCTGACCCGAGTTTCAGATGATTTTCAGACCAGAATGAACATTTGAAGAGAAGTACATGGCCGCCATATGCATGACGTCATTTTCAAAACATGACTGTTTTGTAACAAATGGCAAATATTTACCTCATTATGTACAGTATTAAAACAATTTTATTCCATTTAACTACTGTGTACTACTTATTTAAAAAAAACATCAGGTTCCTTTGTGTCACCCTGTATCAATCACCCTAGTGAACAGCTGATTATCTAGTTGATTAAATGTTTAACCACAGTCAGATTGTAAACAAGAGACAAATGGTTTATGAAGATGGTTTTTAAATAGGCTACTTTTTGTCCATTAACCTGATTGAGTTAGATAAATCAATCTTATTGGTGTGAATCTAAACCCGACAAACTAAGTTGATTGTAAATAATTATCAGTTTTATTCACCTAATAAATAACTACCCAAATCCTAATCTTTGAAAAGTAATAATTTGTAGTAAGAGTAAATTTGTAGTAAGAGTTTTGCACAAGAGCTCTCCCTGTGGTCGAAAACTCGACCAAAAGTATGTACTGTGCAAACTTCTCTATTTTCACCCCACACTGTAAATAAAACATGTGCTTGGAATTTCTTCCATTTGTTTTTATTTTCTATTTATATTCTGTTGTTATTTCATCACCAACATGGCAACCCATAAGGTCAATGTTTATTTTTTTAATTTTAAATTAATTTGTTGTGCTTATTTTTGAGTCTATTTTAATTTATAAAGGGATTCTGCACATCTACAGAAAAATACCTTTCATTTTGTACCAACCGCGTGCAATTTGGTCCAGTATTATATGGTCAGGCTAGCTGTCATAAGTTTTGCAATTTTTTTTTTAGTATACAAGATTATTCATTGTTCTTTGGAAACGAGTTTCAAACCCTATTCACCCTATTATGGTGCGCAATTCAAAACCATAGGTGTGTTATTTTAATATGCTTGCACACAGGTATTCTCATCAAATTTATTAAATTTAACAGAGAGCACAAGAACTTAGGTTTTCACTTTCAAGTTGCAAGCATTTTTTGTAAGAATAACAGCCTTATATTAATGGGGAAAATTCTCACTTTACATTAAACCATATACAAAAAGAAGTAAATTAAATATAGACCGTCAGCTGTGCTGCGGTTACCATAGGTTCTGGCGCACACAGCTTGAAATGAAATGAAATGAAATGATTTATTGTCGTTAAAACTATGTACAAAGTTCATGACAATCGTCAAAATAAAAACAAAACAATCAAGATGGCTCTGGCAACTAAAATATCTAAAACTCTAAACCAAAGTACTCTTCATGTTTATACAGGCAAGCCTGGGTTAGAGTAGTTTTTAAAACATGTTTGAATTTTAAAACACACAGGTTTTTGATGGATGCAGGCAAGAAATTGTACATTTTAACACCTTGGTACTCAAAACTATTTTGAGTGGCTGTATACTTATGCCTTAGTGTAGACTGAATAACTGCGTGAAGCACCATGCAGTTACGGCATATGCGCTACATAACTACACGGCGCTTCCAGCGGTCTGTGCCAAAACCTATGGTAACTGCAGCACGGCTGACAGTCTATACTGTATTTAATTCTTTTTGTCTATGATTGTACACAAAAGTAATAAATTTTCACTGTCACCGCAGTGTTTTCAAGAGGGAAGGTTTGAATAAGAAGATAGATTACTTAATATTTAATGTAGACCAGGGACCTTTTCAATGACAGTAAAACATTCTATTTCATTTGTTTGATGTGAAATTAATACTTGCCTAGTAGTGATGGTCGGATCCGGATATCGGACTACCGGATCCGAGCTAGAACTGGCACCGAATCGGATCCAAAAATTCCGGATCTTGGGCTAGATCCGGTTTTGATGGATCAGATTTTTTCAATTTTTTTATGATTTTTTTCCTAACACAAAGCTCTCTGTATCCATGTAAGAGACCGTTTTTTTACAAACACAAAGGAGTCTGTATCACTGTAAAACCCCGATTTGTTTACTAACACAAAGGAGTCTGTATCACTGTGCAACCCCGATTTTTTACAAACACAAAGGAGTCTGTACAACCCCGATTATTTACAAACACAAAGGAGTCTGTACAACCCCGATTATTTACTAACACAAAGGAGTCTGTATCTATGTAAGAGACCGATTTTTTTTAACCAACACAAAGCAGTCTGTATCACTGTACAATACCGATTTGTTTACTAACACAAAGCTGTCTGTATCCATGTACATGTCTCAGTGTTTGTCTCGAGATGCAAATAACTTATAAAGCAATGCCATGTCTCAGTGTTTGTCTCAAGATGCAAATAACTTATATGGCAAGGCCATGTCTCGGTGTTTGTCTCGAGATGCAAATAACTTATATGGCAATGCCATGTCTCAGTGTTTGTCTCTTTGCAAATAACTTATATGGCAAGGCCATGTCTCATTGTTTGCCTCTTGATGCAAATAACTTATATGGCAATGCCATGTCTCATTGTTTGCCTCTTGATGCAAATAACTTATATGGCAATGCCATGTCTCATTGTTTGCCTCTTGATGCAAATAACTTATATGGCAAGGCCATGTCTCAGTGTTTGTCTCGAGATGCAAATAACTTATATGGCAAGGCCATGTATCAGGGGTTTTCTCTTGATGCTAATAACTTATATGGCAAGGCCATGACACAGTGTTTGTCTCTTGATGCTAATAACTTATATGGCAAGGACATGACCCAGTGTTTGTCTCAAGATGCAAATAACTTATATGGCAAGGCCATGTCTCGGTGTTTGTCTCTTGATGCTAATAACTTATATGGCAAGGCCATGACCCAGTGTTTGTCTCAAGATGCAAATAACTTATATGGCAAGGCCATGACCCAGTGTTTGTCTCTTGATGCTAATAACTTATATGGCAAGGCCATGACCGAGTGTTTGTCTCAAGATGCAAATAACTTATATGACAAGGCCATGTCTCGGTGTTTGTCTCGAGATGCAAATAACTTATATGGCAATGCCATGTCTCAGTGTTTGTCTCTTTGCAAATAACTTATATGGCAAGGCCATGTCTCAGTGTTTGTCTCAAGATGCAAATAACTTATATGGCAAGGCCATGTATCAGGGGTTTTCTCTTGATGCTAATAACTTATATGGCAAGGCCATGACACAGTGTTTGTCTCTTGATGCTAATAACTTATATGGCAAGGACATGACCCAGTGTTTGTCTCAAGATGCAAATAACTTATATGGCAAGGCCATGTCTCGGTGTTTGTCTCTTGATGCTAATAACTTATATGGCAAGGCCATGACCCAGTGTTTGTCTCAAGATGCAAATAACTTATATGGCAAGGCCATGACCCAGTGTTTGTCTCTTGATGCTAATAACTTATATGGCAAGGCCATGACCGAGTGTTTGTCTCAAGATGCAAATAACTTATATGACAAGGCCATGTCTCGGTGTTTGTCTCGAGATGCAAATAACTTATATGGCAATGCCATGTCTCAGTGTTTGTCTCTTTGCAAATAACTTATATGGCAAGGCCATGTCTCAGTGTTTGTCTCGAGATGCAAATAACTTATATGGCAATGCCATGTCTCAGTGTTTGTCTCTTTGCAAATAACTTATATGGCAAGACCATGTCTCATTGTTTGCCTCTTGATGCAAAAAACCTATATGGCAAGGCCATGTCTCAGTGTTTGTCTCTTGATGAAAATAACATATATGGCAATGGCATGTATCTTTCCGAACCGAATCCGACCCGATTTTTTGGATATCTTAACTAGATTAAAAAACTATTGCGAAATAGAAAATTTGAAGTTGGTTTACTTTTCATACAAACATTCAGTGATTTCATTTGGGATTTCCCTTTATGGCTCAACCAATAAGAGAAACTTAAAACCTATATTAAGAATGCAAAAAAAAGCTATAAGAATAATTTACAACCTTCCACCTAGAACTTCTGTTAAGAGAATGTTTAAAATAGAAAATATAATGACAGTTTTCGGTATGTATGTTTTTGAAACAGTGGTATCCGTTAAAAACAGATTTCATGAAATAGAGCTGCTTGGAAAGAAACATGATTATCTTACAAGAAATCGAGGCAAGTTAGCATTAAGTCCTCATAAATTGCGCCTTTTCGAAAAAAAAATCAAATACGCCGGAACAAAATTCTATAATAAACTTCCAAAGGACATACAAGCAGAAGTAAATATAAAAAAATTTAAAAATAAACTTAAGAAATTTCTCATTAGCAGGGCTATTTATTCATTTGATGAACTGTAATTGACTTTTCTTTCCCTACTAATCAAAGTATGTTTTAACTGTTAGTTTTATGTTTTTTTACAATTTTTCCCATTTCCTATAAGCATGTATGTTTTATTATAACTTATAAGAAATGTGACACTATTCATATATATATTTCTAATGTACTTTATGAATAAAGATAATTTGAATTGAATTGAATTGAATTGCACACCTCTAGTTTTTGGTTTTGTACCTAGCTATCAGTACTGTGGGCCTGGAAAGAATTTAAGGCAGAGATTAACAAGAGGTGATCCAGGCATAAATAAATTGGATGCTGCATGCAAAAACCACAATATAGTATACTGAAGATCGAACTATTGTAAAATATACACAGATACCCTTTTGGTGGTCGTGCAAATTTAGTGCATTTTATGATTTTGTTAGTGTCCCCAAAAAATGAGGGATTATGGGCTCAACTGGAGATTACTCTATATTTAAGATATAATAACCTTTAAACATAAGCAATATTATTTAAAACCGTATGATTTAAATAATTGGCATTTTGTTAGTTACGTTTTTTTTACCAGCCCTTATGACAGTGTGTATCTGGATCCGGATCCGAAGATCCGAAGATCCGGATCCGGTACCGACATTTTCTTGGATCCGCCCATCACTATTGCCTAGTAATCGGAAGGTCGCTGGTTTGATCCATAATTTTCAATTATGGTCCACTTGGAATAGCCTGGACATAAAAAGTAAATACCTCCGCCGCAGCAAATCTGCTGACTAAGTGAATTTCCATTTTCCTAATTGTATTTTCATTTTAATATTAAATGTTACCAAGTTTGATAAAAATAATGCCTAACCCAAATAATATAAAATTATGAAACTAAATACTAACCAACCAACACAGCGAGCCGTCTCAAGTTGAATGTCCACACAATGTGTGAGAACCCTTGCGGCAGTTTTCCCCCTACCACTCTCTCCAAGATATGTCTAGTTACAGGGCTTGTATTCTCTGACAATGTAAACAGCTTTTCAGGATCCACGGATCGCTTGATGTGTTTCTGGATAACTCGTTGGATCACTTGGGTCTCCTCGGACTTGCGTACTCTTCCAGCCAACACAAGGTATCCTTCGTCCGCTATGTGCTGGTCCCAGTCGTAAAATTTGCCTGTAAAAAATCAGGTATTAGTACAAGTTTATAATCTATATCACAATGTGGATCAAATTGGTCTTATTGGTTTAGTTTTACAAGCAGGATATAAAGACCTACAGGGTACACAATCTATTTAAACATTTACCTGCAAACACCTTGTAAAAAAGCTTTTCCTTAATATTTTTATTTCAAATTCAAATTCTTTATTAACTCATCACATCTTATAATGCACAAGGTACAAAAGATAGGAGTGTTGTCACAATATAAACTAAAACTAATAAAGTTGACAGAAGTAAAATATCTCATAAATAACCAGAAAAGACCTTATCATTCAGCGTATCATTTTACAAAGTATCCTTAAAAACTCTTCTACAGTGTAGTATGGTTTTTGTAGGAGAAGTTTGTGTAAAGATGTAAGGGCTAAGTTTTGGAATTGTTTAGTAAAATGCTGTACAATTTATTATAAACTTTTACTGCCATGTATTTTGGAGGGTTTTCATAGAATGAAAGCCTATGCCGAGGAAATTTCAATTTTTTCTGATGTCATGTTGGATAGGTATGGTTGAATTTACAGTCATCAAACATTTTAATATCCCTAAACATTAGTTTAACAATTTCAATTATGTAAAGATTTGTAAGTGTTAAGATACCAATATCTTTAAATAAAGATCTGCAGCTTTTTCTTCTTTTAACTCGAGCCATAGTCCTTACTATTGATTTTTTAGCATTAAAAAGAATTTTAGTTTGGGGCTGACATCCCCAAAGTACTATTCCATACTTAATTATTGATTGGATGTAGGAGTGGTATACCATTTTACATACATCCATTGATGTTGTATTACTAATTACACTTAGTGCAAACCTAAACGAATTTAACTTTTTTGACAGATATTGAATATGATTTTTCAATTTTAGTTTATAATCAAAGTGTATTCCTAGAACCTTGTGGGTATTGACTGATTTTAGCTCTCCACAAAATAAATTCTCCAACTGGTTTTTTTTTCACAATTTCAAATTTTATTTAAAGTACATTAAGTGGGTTCTAGAATCATTCATTAAAAGACCGTTTCTGTAAAACCAATTTTTTAGTTCATCCACAGTTGTTTTAATTGATTTTTCTAATTGCTGAAAATCATTGTTTTTTACCACAACATTAGTATCATCAGCATACAAAAATAAACTACCGGTTATATTTGAATCAAGGTCATTAATGAAAATCAGAAATAGCATTGGTCCCAGAATAGAACCTTTAGGTACACCAATTATGGTGTACCTAAATCCCATTAGGTCCACACAATGGTCCCATCCAGACGGAAACCGTTTGTTCTGTTTGTAAACTATTGTGCGCTGTTTTCTATTTATTAAGTAGTTTGAGAGACGACCTAAGACCTTTTCTCTTATAGGCTACTCTTATGATCTTGCAAATACAATTTATGATCTTGCCCTTTATATCTTAAAAAAACCTCAACACCTTAAATTCAATAATCATAATCACAATACCAGATTTAAAAATAGTGCCTTGTTAGAATCACATCGTCTGAGTAAGACTAGCAAGAGCCACATAGTGGTATCAACTAAAGTATAGAACCTTTTAAAACACAATATTGATGCTTATCCGCAGGAAAAATTTAAGTCTTTGTTTTATAATTGGCTATTAGACAACCCTTCTTATAGCCTGGACGATTTGTTCAAATCTGGACAGATAAATCTTTGATTGTATAACCCTGCTGCTCACCTGTTGCTTTATCAGGTCCTTATATTGTTGATTGTTTAGTCATATGTACATATTGTAGTTATTAAGCCATATTGTTTTTTTTCAAAATACAGTAGAACTCCGATTATCCGAATTAATAGGGACCAGACCCCATTCGGATAATCGGAGTTTTACCGGAATTCCGGGAATTTTAAAGAAAAATCCTCATTTTTGGTGCTAAGTGAACTTTAAATTAATAATAATTGAAATAAGAACATTTTTACAGTTTACAATGCTCATAGTGTTCTATACATTTTATGAAGTCTAAGTCAATAGTGTTCCATCAAAGTCCAAAATTACACATTGGCTAAATGTGTTAAATAACAATTCTTTGATATTTTGCAAAACTTATTACTATAGCTTTACGTTTTTAAAATTGTCGAATCAAGCGATTCGGATAATTGGAGATTCGGTTAATTGGAGTTCGGATAATTGGAGTTCTACTGTATTGAAAGTGTTTTTGATTTTGTTTTGTTTGACGATTGATGTATGATCATGATTTTGACGTTGTCGATGATCTAATGTATCCTTATGACAAATAAAGATTTTTATTTTTTATTATTATTATTATTATACTAATGTTTTTTAGTTTGTAGATTAAAAGTTGGTGGTCCACACAATCAAAAGCCCTGGACAGATCACAGAAAACCCCTTCAACACTTTGCAATCCATCCAGAGCCTCCGAAACTGAGTTAACAAATTTAGTGAGAGCCAAGGTTGTTGAATGATTTCTTCTAAAGCCAAATTGAGATGGCAACAGTTAATTATTATTTTCCAAAAAATCAATTATGGTGAATACATTTTTCAAATATTTTAGAAAGATTACTAAGTAGAGAAATAGGTCTATAATTTTGTATCAAACTACATGTTTTTATTTCACTACTAACTGTCTTGCTTTCCTTTGTCTTTGAGTCGCCAACACAACTCCCAGCTGAATGAATATAGACTTATTATTAAACAGTAATCAAATTTGGCTTACAACTATTTAACTTACAATATACATAGCTTATTATTACCCATATAGGGAATAAGCAATTACCCCAGGTCTCGTGGTAAGACCTATAGACCCGGGACCAATTTACTTTTTCGTTTTTTGGTCCTCAGAGGTCAAAACACCATCTTTTAAAATTATTATATAGGCTATATACAGTGTGTAAATTAAGTATTGAAACAAACCTGTGTTTTTAAAACCGAAATAGATAGAAATATTCTGTTTATGGCAATAATTGTTAACAAAGGTTCCACAATTTTTTACATCAAAAATATTTGTTAACCCCCGTAAGGATTCGTCAAAAGAAACACAATGAAGCAAACCCGAGGTGGAAATCTCACCCCTAGCCAAAATGGCAGGTATTCCAAAATTTGATTTACTGTATGTGAAAAAGCACCAATTTCACAAATAATGGAAAGAAATCTGTATTTTTAAAACGGAAATAGATAGAAATATTCTGTTTGTGGAATTGATTATTAACATAGGTTCCGCAATTTTTTACATCAACAACATTGTTTCAACCCCTTTAACAGGTTAGGGGGTGGGAGTGACTTATTTTTTTCAATAACAACCCCTATTGAGTGACCCCTCATTTTGAAGGGTTTGTTAAAAGAAAAACAATGACGCAAACCCGAGGTAGATTTTTCACTCCTAGCCTTCACTCCTGGCGGGTATTCCAAAATTAATTTTTTGTAAAAATGCACCCATTTTGGTATATCTGCCATTTTGGCTAGGGGTAAGATATTCACCTCCGATTTGCATCATTGTGTTTCTTTTGACAAACCCTTCAAAATGAGGGGTCACTCAATAGGGGTTGCTATTTGAAAAAAATAAGTCACCCCCTACCCTGTTAGGGGATTACAAAATATGTTTGATATGAAAAATTGCGGAACCTTTGTTAACAATTATTGCCACAAACAGAATAATTCTATCTATTTAGGTTTTAAAAATACAGATTTGTTTAAATACTTAATTTACACACTGTATCAATCAATCAATCAATCAATCATATCATTTAATTGCCTTTTGGATTTTCACAAATCATTGACAAAGTCAACACATCAGCCTATGTATAGGCCTACGTCATATATCTATAATACAATATATAGTATAAGATTAAGTATCTAGAGGATGTAAAAATTAAAATGATAAATTAACTTAACTTTTTATATAAAATGGTTTATGTTTTATGTTACGTTATGCGTCGATCGATCCTTGATGTAGTAAGTAATAACTACAGCTGTTTCATGCCGCTGGGACACATCTTCAGGTTGTAGAGCGTCAAGATAAAATAGCTATCATCCGTGGATGATTTTGTCGAAAAAAATATTACACAAAAAACACGAATGAGAAAACATTTAAGACACGAATTCTTATTCGTGTTTTTTGTGTAATATTTATTTCGACAAAATCATCCACGGATGATAGCTATTTTATCTTTACGCTCTACAACCTGAAGATGTGTCCCAGCGGCATGAAACAGCTGTAGTTATTACTTACTACATCAAGGATCGATCGACGCATAAGGTAACATAAACCATTTTATATTGCAATTTACGATCCAGAGGCTAACCCATCAAGTAACTTTTTATATTGTATAGGATACATCAGATTTAGCGTAATAACTAAAGCAAAAATGATTCGATTTTGATTCAATTTAGTACCAACGTGTAAATCTACATTTTTCTAACAAGTTTGCAAACCAACATGATTAGACTATGCGAACGGAGGTTTATGGGGGTTTTATGGAGTAAAAATTGGTTTAACCCATTTTTGACCCGCATAAAATTTCACAATGTCTTTACAAAATATTTTTGTAGACCTTCAAAAAAGAAATAATATAGTAGTATATTGAAGCATTATTTTATGCTTAACCGTAACGGAGATAGTGAAAAAATATAAATTAAAATTTCCATGTTATTCTTATGGAAAATAAATAAACTGTTGTAGTTTGCTTGTTTGTGAATGGATTTCAATCAAATTTGGCAATTTAGTTTTTTTAATAAAATAAAGCTAACAACATTTCAATAAAGAAACACACTTCATTACCTTCCCTGTAGAAGCAAACTAAGAATTCATTATAATTAATGCTTTATAGATAGGAAATAAATCTGGCAAATTTAAGAGAATATTTATAAATCTATATAAATAAAATTAGAATTTTGTCTGTGCATGGCTCAGAATAATAAGTTTTTTGGTTATTTTTACGTTTTATACATATTCAAGAAGCTGAAACATGTCTTATCTCAATGTCTGTCTGTCACGACCCAG